AAAAAAAAAAAAAAACACAGGTAACTAAAAATTCCCATGTTTGGAGATTTATAAACTCACTTCCTAAATAATTCATGGATTGAAGAAGAACTCATAGGGAAATCAGTAGACTAAAAATTAGTGAACTAAGCATTATACTCAAAAAAACTGGAAAAAGATAAAAAAGAGTTAACCCAATGAAAGATTATGGAAATAATAAAGATAAAAGCAGAAATTAGTGAAATTGAAAATGAATGTACAATAAAGTTTTTTTTTAAAGCCTGCTTTTTGAATCTCTGGTAAGATTCATCCAGAGAAAAAAGACAAAAGAATAATCTTAACAATAAAAAAAGAGACAACAAAAATATATATATATGATAATAAGATCACTTTTATGCCAGTATACTTGAAAACTTTGATGAAATGGTTTATCCAAAAATACACCTTAGCAACTGATCAAGGAATCCTAAACTGATCAAGAGAGAAATAGAAAACCTAAATACACCTGTTACCTGGACTGATATTTAACCAATATGCAGTGATTTAGCTGAAGTAGTTGTTAAAATATTAAACTACTTCTCTAGTTAACACAGAAGTTAAATGTGGTAACTGTAGTTAAATGATAAATAGCCACTATCCTGAATCATCCCCGGGCAGTCATATCCTGGCACCCTCTGGTTACCCAGGCCCTTCTTTTAGGGATACCTCCCTCAAGATCTCCCTATGATCTAGCAGCTAAAGTCCCCCTTAAACTACCCCCCCCTTTTTTTTGGTTGTTCAGCATCTCATTTAATTCAGAGAAGTCTCATGAGTTAGATAACTATTATCCCATTTTATTATTATTTTTAAAGATTTTATTTATTTGACAGAGAGAGATAGCAAGAGCAGGAACACAAGCAGGGGGAGTGGGAGAGGGAGAAGCAGGCTTCCCGCTGAGCAGTGAGCCCGATGCGGGGCTCGATCCCAGGACCCTGGGATCATGACCTGAGCCGAAGGCAGACGCTTAACAACTGAGCCACCCAGGCGCCCCTATTATCCCATTTTAGAGCTAAGGAAACCAAGGTCAGAGAGGTTGGGTAACTTGCCCACATGACTGTCAATAGTAAATTATGAGCCAAGGGTCAAATCCCTGGTTTATAGACTGCTGAGAGACACCCTTTGTTGATGGAAGTTTTAAGATCTTATAGTAGAGTAATTCCAGGACTCAGTTCCAACACTGCCAACTGCATCAATTCTGACTGGCTCATTTTCATGCATTGCTGGTTATTTAAATATTCTAAACATTGCCTCTGCCATAGCCATTAAAGACATGGAAAATAGCAATTAAAATTTATCTACTAATAAAACAGCAGGCCTGTCAGTTTTACAGGTGACTTCTGTAAGACACTATAAGAAACAGAACATTCCAGTTTTATTAAGTTGTTCACATTCCAGAAAAAGGGAAATCTTACCTCATGTATGAAGCTAGTATAACCTTAATATATAAACTCAACAAAGATAATACTAGAAGAGAAAAATCGAAAGGTCAATCTGTAATGTGAATGTAGATACAAGTATTCTAAATAGAAGGAAACTGAAACTTGTAAGATATTAATCAAAATATCATGACCAAGTTGGGTTTATTCAGGAATGAAAAGATGATATATCTGGGGCGCCTGGTTGACTCAGTCAGAAGAGCATGCAACTTTTGATCTCGGGGTTGTGAGTTCGAGCCCCATGTTGGGTATACGTATAGGTCACTTAAAAAAGATATATTAATAGAAATTTTTTTTTTTTTTGGACAGAAAGTGTGCACAAGCTGGGGGAGCAGCAGGCAGAGGGAGAGGGAAAAGCAGGCTCCCTGCTCAGCAGGGAGCCCGACACAGGGTTCGATACCAGGACTCTGGGATCATGACCTGAGCTGAAGGCAGACACTTAACCGACTGAGCCACCCAGGCGCCCCTATCAATAGAAATTCTATTAATATAACTTACCACATTAACAGATTAAACAAAGTCCGTATGATTGTTTTAATCAAGGAATAAAATTCAACATTCAATCATAATTAAAAACAAAAGAGGGGACATTATTACCAGTCTTATAGAGATTAAAAGGATTATAAAGGGATACAATGAACAACTTTATGACAACACATCAGACAACTCAGATAAATACCTGGACAGTCACAAATTACTTAAACTGATTCAAGAACAAATAGAAAATCTATAGACCCACAGACCTAAAGCAAGTAAAAAATCAAACTGGTAAAAAAAAAAAAAAAAAAAATCAAACTGGTAATTTAAAAATCTTTCCACAGTGAAAAGCCCAGTCCCAAAAGTCTTCACTGGTGAATTTTACCAAACATTTATAGAATAAATAATACCAATCTTTCAGTCTCTTCTAGAAAATAGAGGAGAACACTTCCAAACTCATTTTATGAGGCTGGTATTATTACTCTGATACAAACCAGACAAACATCATAAGAATAGAAAACTACAGACCAATATTCCTCAAAAACAAAAAGAAGAAGAAAAATAGAACAAAATCCTCAATAAAATATTAGCAAATCAAACCTAGCATCATGTATAAAGGATTATATATCACAATAGTAGAATTTACCCCAGGAATAGAGGGTTGGTTTAATATCCAAAAATCAATTAATGTAATACATCGTTTAATAAAGGTCAAAATCCATAAACAGGATCATCTCAAGAAAGGGAGAAAAGCAGTTGACAAAATCCAATACCCATTTGTAATAAAACTGGGAATAATAGGGAACTTTTATTCCCTAGACAGCTGATAAAGGACATCTGAGAAATTTATAGCTAAAATCATTTTTGTAAAGTTTTTTTTTTTTTTTTAAGAGAGAGCACCCTAATAGGGGGGTGGGGTTAGGGGCAGAGGGAGAGGGACAGTTAGACTCCCCACTGAGCAGGGAGCCCGACGAGAGCCCGACGACATAGGGCTCGATCCCAGGACCCCGAGATCATGACCTGAGCTGAAGGTAGATGCTTAACCAACTCAGGCGCCCCTGGCTAAAATCATCTTAATGTTGAAAAGACTGAATACAAATTTATCCTAAGATTGGTAACAAGGCAAGGACGTCTGCTCCCACCACTTTTATTCAGTATTGTATTGGAGGTACAGTTGAACTGGAAATGCAGTCAGGCAAGAAAAAGAAATACCAGGTATCCAGATTGGAAGGGAAGAAGCAATCTTCATATGTAGATATGATCTTATATATAGAAAATCTTAAGGATTCCACAAAAATACTAGAACTAATAAGTTCAGCAAGGTCACAAGATATATGAGATTAATATACACAATCAATTGTATTTCTACTTATAAGCAATGAACAATCTAAAAATGAATGAAGAAGATTCCATTCATAATAGCATCTAAAGAAATAAGATACTTAGGAATGTATTTAACAAAAAAAGTACAAGATTTTTACACTGAAAACTATAAAAACATTGCTGAAAGAAATGTAAGAAGATGTAAATGAATGGAGAGGCATTCCATCTTCATGGATTGGAAGACTCAGCATCATTAAGATGGTAATTTTGGGGGTGCCTAGCTGGCTCAGTCAGGACAGCATGTGACTCTTGATCTCAGGGCTATGAGTTCAAGCCCCACATGGGGTATAGAGCTTACTTAAAAAAATAATAAGATTACAGAGGACAAACAAAAAAATTTTTTAAAGATGGCAATTGTCAAAAAAATAAAAGATGGCAGTTGTCTCCAAGTTAATCTGTTGATTCAGTGCAATCTCTATCAAGATTCCAGCTGTCTTTTTTTGGACCAATTGTTAAGCTGATTCTAGAATTTACATGGAAATACAAATGACCCAGAATAGCCAAAACAATCTTGAAAAGAAGAACAAAGTTGAAAGACTCACACTCTCAATTTTAGAACTTACTACAAAGCCATAGTAATCAAAACAGTGTTTATTGCCATGGGATAGGCATATAAATCAAAGGAACAGAATTTTGAGAGTACAGAAATAAACCCTTGCATTTATGATCGGTTGATTTTCAATTCAGCAAAGGTGCCAAGGTAATTCAGTGGTTCAGAAAAGGATAGTCTTTTCAATAAATGATACCTGAGCAACTGGATATTCACATGCAAAAAGATGAGTTTAGACCCTTATTTTACATCAAAACAAGAAACTCAAAATGGATTTAAACCTGAAGGTAAGAGATAAAATTACATAATTCAAAGAAGAAAACATGGAAGTAAATCTTCATGCAAACCAAAGCACAAGTGATTAAAAAAATTGATAAAATGAACTTCATTAAAATGAAAAACTTTTGTGTATCATGTGATACCATTTAGAAAGTGAAAAGCAAAATTATATCTGATCAAGGATTTGTGTCCAGAATATATAAAGAACTCTTGCAACTCACTTTAAATATACACAAATAACCCAATTTTAAAATGGGCAAAATATCTGCATAGACATTTCACCAAGGAAGATAATACAAATGATTATTAGGCATGTGAAAAGATGATCAACATCATTAGTCTATAAGGAAAATGTAAGTCAAAACCAAAATGAGAAACCATTTCATATCCACTAAGATGGCTTTAATTTAGAAAGACAATAATAAGTATTGTCAAGAATGTGGAGAAACTGGATCCTCATACATTGCTGGTAGGGATGTAAAATGGTACAGCCACTTGAGAAAAGTTTGGTAGTTTCTTAAAATGTTAAACAGATTTATCATCTGACCAGCAATTCCACTCCTAGGTATCTACCCAAGAGAAATGAACACCTATCACCACACAAAGATTTGTACATGAATGCTTATAACAGTATTACTCATAATATCCCCAAAAGGGAACCAGTACAAATATCTATCAATTGGCAAATTAATAAACAAAATGTGGTATATCTATATAATAGAATACTATTTGGTAATGAAAAGGAACAGAGTACTAATATGTGCTACAACATGGATGAACCTCAAAAAACAGTATGCTAAGTGAAAAAAGCCAAACCAAAAGACCACTTGTATAATTCTATTTATATTAAATGTCCACAATAAGCAGATCTATAGAGACTACTTAGTGGCTGCCTGTGACTGGGAATGGGAACAGGGAGAGACTACTAGTGGGCAGGGACTTTTTAGGATGATGAGAATGTTCTAAAATTGGGTTGATGATTGCACAACTCCATAAATTTACTAAAAATCAGTTGTTAAAATGAGTGAATTTTATGATATGTAAATTATATCTCAAGGCTATTAAACTTAATTAAAAATAGAAGGAAACTCATCAAAAGTGTACACTAAAACCTACAGGACATTTTTAAATGGTTTTCTCTATAGGGGTACCTGGCTGGCTCAGTCACTAGAGCATGTGATTCTTGATCTCAAGGTTGTGAGTTCAAGCCCCACATTGAGTATAGAGCTTACTTAAAAAAAAAAAAAATTTTTTTTTCTCTATAAAATCAGGAAGGGAGAATATGGCTGCTATTACTACTACTGTATACCACTGTTTTGGGGTGGCAGAAGACAGGGTCCTAGTCGGTACAGGAAAATAAATATGTAAGGATTAGAAAGGAAAAAAAATAGCATTCACAGGTGATATGATTGTCTATATGAAGGGTTGGCAAATTTTCTGTAAAAGACTGTGTAATAAATATTTTAGGCTTTGTGTGCTGTATAGTCTCTGAGCAGCCGTCGACAATACATAATGGGTATTGCTGTGTTCCAACCAACCTTCTGTATAAAAATAGGCAATAGTCCAGACTTAGCCCATAGACCAGTGTTCTGACTGGTCTATATAGTAAATCTTAGAAATTCTGCTGACAAATTATCAGAATTAGTAAGAGTTAACCAAGATTGCTAGACATAAGATCAAAATGTAAAAATCAGTACTGTTCCTATTTATCACAAGAAGCAATTAAAAAATTTAAAGCATATAGTTTTTAGTAATTAAAAAAAATTTTTTTAAAAAACCAGGATGGGTCAAGTAGCAGATTAGACACAACTTTAAAAAATAGATTGGAAGCTAGATATTAAAAATTATCCAGAATGTAACAGAAATGAAGAGATAGAATATAAGAAAGAGCAGCTATGAGGCGAGAATCAAATGTGAGTGTTTCAAACATCTATTTGGAGCTCCAAAAGAATAGAGAAAATATGTGAGAGGCGATATTGGAATAATGATGGAGAATTTCCCAGAATATATGAATAATATGAATCTTAAGATTTAGAAAGTCAAATGAATCCCAATAAATTAGAAAGAAATCCAAATTTAAACATATATCAGAGTGAAACTGCAGTACTCCAAAGACAAGGAGAAGATCAAAGGATAAATTGTCCAAAGTAACAATTGCACTAATAGCAGACTTAAAAATAGCAACAATGGAAGCCAGAACTCAGTGGAGTATTATCCCCAATATTCAGAACAACATAAAGTGACAGTTTACCTCAACAAAATCTTAACTTAAAAATGTGTATTTCAGAAAGAATAAAATGGGAAGTTGGAGATGAAAGAAGGAATGGTGTGCAAAAACAAAAAAAAAATGTTTATCATGTATAAAAGGCTAAGCATACATTGACTGTAAATTCTAGTTTGAAGGTCAAAAATATGACTATTACCAAATCCTTATATTTATGATAATTCTAGGTTTTGATTTCTTCTGTAGGTGTACAGAAGATGGATGTCCACATAAGAAATTCTTTCACACACGTTTTCTCATGCGAATGAGATTAACACCAGATTGTTCCAAAATGTTGATCTCCACGTCCTCTGGATATCTTTTGATTTTGCATGATCTTGACTTAACCAAGTCTTTAGAAGTAGGCAGCTATCCCATTTTGAGAGCAAGAAGAACTACATCAAGTTCAGGTAAGCTTTTCTTTTTTGATTAAAAAAGTTTTCCGAAGAGTCTCACACAAAGGGAGATACTGTATATGTTCCCATTCTGAGAATGATAGCAGGAAGAAGGGAAGGAGATTAGAAGACATTTTTGGAAAGCTCATTGAGAGCTTTTTTCCCAAGAAAGTATGACCTATATGAATCTCTGACATAGCATTAATTTGTGCTTCTTTATCACCAATGATCTAGGAAGAACTGCTAACTATAAAAATATTTTCTTTTAGCGCTTTCTGCTATCCAGAAAAATCTTTTATCAGTATTTCTAAATCATCACTATCTCAAAAATTAGTGGTGGCCTAAGGTAGGTTCAATCTTCCAGCAGAGCTTTATTATTTTTATTTTATTTTAATTTTTATTTCACAACCCTGAGATCAAGACCTGAGCTGAGATCAAGAGTCAGATGCTGAACTCACTGAGCCACCAAGGCACCCCACCTAGCAGAGCTTTTAAGATATATTCAATATAGAGCTTTACTTTTAAGTCTGTGTTACATACTAGAATTCCAGATGTCTATATCCAGGTAGCAGGTGTCATCCTATTTCACAGCCTCTAAACATCCTCTTGCTAAAGCTGTATTCTTTTTTTAAAAAAAAGATTTGTTTTAGAGGGAGAGAGAGTGGGGGAGGGGCAGAGGGAGAGAGAATCCTGAAGCAGACTCCCTGCTGAGCAGGGAACACAATTGTGGGGGCAGGGCTCAATCCCAGGTCTCTGAGATTATGACCCAAGTTGAAACCAAGAATCGGCCGCTTAACCGACTGAGCCACCTAGGTGCCCCTAAAGTTGTATTCTTTTTTCTGTTGCTGATTCCATTAGACTTCAGTGAAATTGGGGCTCAGAAAAACTTATGCACTATAATATATCTACATTATGTGATAGAGACTATATTTCATCACCTTTGAGAAAAAGAGGGCTGTTCCAGGAACATACCTATTTATAATTTTGCATTTATGAACAAGAACCCAGAAAAAAAGACTTAAGCATTTGGAATACAATGTTTATAAATTGCTATTTAAAATCAGCTTCAGATGGTTGGACTCTTTCTCCTGTATGCATAGGGCCATAGGGCCACATCTGAAGACTTCTTTGGGAAAGTGCAGGCCCTGTTGTAATTGCATTTGCCCAATTTCACTGCTAAAAGTAGAAATTTAAGTTTTACCAGCTTATTTGCAAAGCAAGGGATTTCATAAATATGTGAGTATAATCCTTTTACATTCAGAAATTTATTTTTAGGTTAAACATTAATAGTCAACTTTAGCTTAGGAAGAGGTAGTGAGTTAGAAAGTCTGGTTGGTATTTTTTTATTCAAAAACCAAGAACGGGGGCGCCTGGGTGGCTCAGTTGGTTAAGCGACTGCCTTCGGCTCAGGTCATGATCCTGGAGTCCCGGGATCGAGTCCCGCGTTGGGCTCCCTGCTCGGTGGGGAGTCTGCTTCTCCCTCTGACCCTCCTCCCTCTCGTGCTCTCTGTCTCTCATTCTCTCTCTCTCAAATAAATAAATAAAATCTTTAAAAAAAAAAACAAAAACCAAGAACGGGCGCCTGGGTGGCTCAGTCAGTTAAGCATCTGCCTTTGGCTTGGTTCATGATCCCAGGGTCCTGGGATCGAGTCCCACATCGGGCTCCCTGCTCAGCGGGGAGTCTGCTTCTCCCTCTCCCTCTGCCTGTCGCTCCCCCTGCTTGTGCTCTCTCTCGCTCTGTCTCAAAGAAATAAATAAAATTAAAAAACAAAAACAAAAACAAAACCCCACCAAGAACATTTTCTGTCTTCTAAGGGTCATTCTGATAATAACATCAAAGGGAATTAGATGAAGAAATTCTCATAAAAGTGTGGGGCCACTAGAAGAGTGAGATGTAATAGAGATTGCTTTTTGGAGTAATATATCAAACCCAACTATCTAATACTCAATTTTTTTTTTCAGATTTCAGTATAAAGTTTGTATTGCATTTCAAAGATAGTATTCACATAACTTCATGAATGGTAACAGAATTGTTTGGCATGCTTAAGAAGGCTCATTTAATGTTCTCAGTAACGAACCTCGTATTTGGACCCTATTCTAACATTAAACAGGCTGATGAACAGCTCAGTTTTCATGTTTACTGAATTTTCTTGTTTTGTTTTACTACAGAAGTGATGGGGAACCCAAAGATGCTCCTATGTTTATTTGGTTTGTCATTTTTATTTCACTTAAGCAAGTCTTTGTTAGAAGAGATTTTAGAGAGGGCCCAGGCCTTAGATAGAACACTTCAAAGAGCTGTCCTACCTACCTCGGTCGCAGTTATAGGCCAGCTTTAAGTGAGCATGTACTTGCCATGTTTCAGATGGATTTTAACAGTATGCTTCAACTAGCTGATTAAAAAGTTAAGAGACACTACTAGAATTTTGCTAAGTTTATTGTCAGAACTTTTTGTATTTTTAAGATCTGACTACTTCATCAAGTTCATCTGGTCCTCGAGTTTCTGGTTCACCTTGTCATCATAGTGATTCTAACTCATCTTCTGAGAAACACATGTCACGAGCATCACAAAGAGAAGGTAGGTTGAAAGTGGTATTTTATAATCTTGCAACAACAGATTCTACCAAATAGCTTTCTTTGGTTTAGTTTAAAGCTATACAAATAAAAGCCAATAAAGAAGAGGCTATTCTTTGACCCTCAGTCATTTTCAAAAGCTAACCAGTCTCTAGGGTTGGATATCTCGGGCTTACATCTTTGTTGGAATTTGAGCTTTGGCTTTATTTACTGAACTTATAGTCTGGTCTAGATTGGAGAAAAAGTGGTTTGGACATGTAAATTCCAATCAAGGTTGTTATGGATTAAATGAGATATGCATGTGATGGTGCTGTGTAAAGTGATGCGTTTGTCAGGTGCTTGTGAAAGTCACCTGGTTCCAGCCCAGTAGGCATTTTGCTCTGCCATTTCTTTATCTGAGCAATGCCTGACAGCCTTAGAGGGGTTGTGGGATAAAGTGGGCTACATTCTGGCCCTACTCTGCTTTTGCCCGTTTCCCCCCACCACTCTGGCAGAAGTAGCTGTTTAGCCCATTCTTTCCACCCCCTAAATGAGATGCTTTTGACCTAAGCAAACTTCATCTACTTCTCCATACCAGTTCACATCTAAGCACTTTTTGTCCTCATCTTTGTGGACTGATGGCCAGATGTGGGTCTTTTTGTAATTTTGGGTCACCTTTTGGAGATGCTTAGCTCCTACCTGGGTCTTTAGGGGAGGGGCTATCCATTATACTTCTAATTTGTGTTTTTCCTGGGTGGCCTCACCTGGTAAGTGCTTGATAATTGCATACTTGATTATTTTGCATGACTACTTGATGTTTGTAGAGTGGTTTGAGAGCTCTTCCTAAACCTACAGCCTATCTGCTTTCCTCTGGATATTCAAGACTATGACATTTAAGGTTAAAAATTCCTATTAGAGATTTATGCCCAGATGTGTAACATTTTTCCTTTGATTTGTAGCAGAAACTTCTTTTATAGATTCTACCTGTTCTTCTACCTTGGCTTCTAAGACAAGGCTCTTAATAATCATTGAGAAAAATCTTTATTGAACTAAACCATCCATGAGGGGAAAAAAAAAACAAATGAGAGTAGTTAACTGCTTGTTGCAGTGGTAAACCCCAAAACCAAACTACACAGCAGTTTCATGATACAGAGATTGGGAATGGGAGAAGAGACGATGTATGGAGAGCCTAGGCAGAGTATAGAGAAGAAGGTGGGGCTCATACATAAGGTCGTTCTGAATGTTGGCAATCCTGGGTCTTCAGGGTGTCAGAACGTTAGCACCATACTTTGACAGATACAGTAGCTGTATAGAGCTGAGGCTATTAAACTCATTTCAGGTTAGACCTTTTTTTTTAAGTGATCTCTACACCCAATATGGGGGCTCAAACTCCAGACCCTGAGATCAAGAGTCAGGTGCTCTATCGGCTGAGCCAGCCAGGTGCCCCGTGAACTCCCTTTAGGACATGAAATCTGCTGTGGATTGTAGCACAGATAAAGTGCAAAAACTCTGGCTCAAGTGAAATTAGGGAGTTCCTTGACCAGTCTTCCCTTCCCATCCCCATGTGGTTCCCTCCTTTTGCCAGCTCTGGAGGAACCTCCAAGGAGCACAGCTCAAAAACCACTACTTACTTATTTAGATGGGTTTCTTTTTTGCTTTTGTTCAATTTTCAGAATTCTTGATATAGCTGTTTGTTTTTCTCTAAAATTGTTATTAAAGTTCAGTCACATGTGAAATCATTATTTAGGTATAGTTTGGTTATAACAATGTAATTTAGAGCTTCACAGGTTTCCATCAATGCTGTAGTAATCTAAAGGGACTCTTTTAAAGAAGATAACACATCTATTTGAGAAACAATTCACAAAGGGTCTGACAGAGGGAGCTCATAATCTTCAAAGCCACTCCTTCCGCAGGTAGAGAAGTGTTGAAATATTTCTCGATATTAAATTTCTAAATTGCTTCTTTATAATGTCTGAAAGTGGTTCTCCACACACCTGAGGGATAGGACGTAACTCCCAGTAGTAACGGCTTGCTGTAGCAGTCACTTTCATGGGGGGCTAGGAAAGAGGACGGGATGGGCCCTAACAGAGTACCAGGCATATGTATGATTGGCAATGTCTCCCAACCCCTCGTTTTGACATACTGGTATGTGAAATATCTTCCCTTGCCTCCAAAATTATAGCTCTGTTTTTTATAGTACTGTTCTTGGGGGCCCTAAGTCCTGCTCCTTGCACACATAATAGCCTTTTATTGATAAGAAAGGCAATCTGCATGGCTTCCAAGTATTTCCTTCTCTGGACTAGAGAGCACCAGGTCCTCTGAGATGAGAATTATCTTTTACTTTTCCAGATTCCTTTCATGTCATATAACTTTATGTTAGTTTTCTGAGATGTAAATCCTAATCAAAAGGATCCCTAGTCTTAGGTTACTGGGATTCCTGCTGCAGGAACTTGGATTCTTTAGTTCTGGTCATAACCCTCCCCCATACCCCCACCCCAAAGACATGCACACCATGCATCAAGGGGCACCACCATAGGTTTTTTTTGTGTATGTGTATTTTTTTTTTTAAGATTTATTTATTTTAGAGAGCAGGCATGAGTGGGAGGTGTAGAGGGAGAGAGAGAATCTGAAGTAGATGCCATGCTGAGTGTAGAGTCCGATGCAGGGCTTGATCTCACGACCCTGAGATCACAACCTGAGACAAAACCAAGAGTTGGCTGCTTAACTGATGGTGCCCCCCTCCGCCCCCAGGCATGCCCAGTTTTTCTTTTTACATGTGGTAGCACAAGGGGCCGATGAAGGAATGAAGGCTGGGGGTGGGGGTGACTGCCAGAAATCAAAGCTTTGATGAGCTGCCTTAGTTCTCTGATAATACACATTTCACATCCTAATTTTCTTATCAGGAGTTTCACCACGAAATAGTCTTGAAGTCTTAACTCCTGAAGTTCCTGGTGAGAGAGACCGTGGAAACTGCATCACGTCCTTACAGCTGCACCCAAAAGGCTGGGCCGCTCTCCTTAGGTGCTCAAGCAACACCGATGATCAGGAGGTAGGGGCGGCGGCACTCCACCTTCAACGGGGCTGACTGAACAAATAGCCGTTGCCGTGTACGCTCATGGTATCTTTATCCCTTGAACCACTCCTTCCTCTCCCGCCTCCTCTCCAGTGTGGCAGACTGGAAATACCTTAAACACGTATCAACTCAGATTGTGGCCAACTTCTTAATTCTTGCCCTCTTTATCTTGCCACATGCCCTTTATATAGTAAACTTTAGATGGAGATGCTTCAGTCAAGCTGGCTAAATGTAAGGTTTTGCTAAGCCAATTGAGTATTAGAATTTGCTCTTTTTAAAAACAAGGGGAGGGGCGCCTGGGTGGCTCAGTCGGTTAAGTGTCTGCCTTCAGCTCAGATCATGATCCCAGGGTCTGGGGATCGAATCCCAAGTTGGGCTCCCTGCTCAGCGGGAAGCCTGTTTCTCCCTCTGCCTGCTGCTCCCCCTGCTTGTCCTTGCTCTCAAATCATACATACGTACATACGTACGTACATACATACCAGGGGAAACCAGGGAGAGACTAAACTGATGACTAGGGGAAAAGAGAGAAGAGCCTTTGAAGTATGTAGGAGGAGAGGTATTTTAGGGCTTAGATGTCTAAACTTTAGAATATTTTAAGTATCAACATTGTTGTTACTTTCACAAAGGGGAATTATTACCACAGAAGTCACAGCAGCCTGAGGGAATAAAAGGCTTTAGTCATAGTACATCACAGTACACAGAATAACCTTGGCTTATGAAGATAAGGTATGGGGCCTGCACATTTTAGTAGATGGGAGAGGGGTAGCAGTTATCTGAGTTCTTGCAACAATTCTGTGGCTTTGGCAGCCTGTTGAGCTTTTTACAAAAAGAACTATCTAGCGTTATTTGGGGCTCTGTAACTTTGGTTTATCTCTCTTCTCTCCCCTTAGTGGACTTGTGTCTATGAATTCCAAGAAGGAGCTCCTGTGCGACCTGTCTCACCTCGCTGTTCTCTACGACTAACTCATTACATTGAAGAAGCCAATGTAGGCAGGGGTTATATCAAAGAACTTTGCTTCAGCCCTGATGGGCGAATGATCTCTTCCCCACATGGCTACGGGATTCGCTTGTTGGGATTTGACAAACAGTGCAGTGAACTTATAGACTGTTTGCCCAAAGAAGCCAGTCCTCTGCGGGTGATCCGTTCTCTGTACTCTCATAATGATGTGGTACTGACGACAAAGTTCTCTCCAACACATTGTCAGATTGCCTCAGGGTGCCTTAGTGGACGGGTTTCTTTGTATCAGCCAAAGTTTTAGGCACAACTTAACATCAAATAAGGAATTCTTCTGGTGTTTGACTTATAAATTACTTCAATTTAGGTGAAGTATTTCCTTTTTAGAAGATCTTAAAAGTTTGGGTCAAGATCCCAGTTCTTACGGGTCCACGGACACACCTGTGACCTGAGGACTTGGCCGTCCGGCATCGTAGGGGCCTCACCAAGTTAGACTCGACGCAGCAGCAGCTTTTCCGCATTCCTCTGCTCCTGCTCATCTGTGCCACTGGGACTTCAGTTCTTCTGGTTATTTTGCATGGTAGCTCTCGTCAAGTTTCTTTACTTCTTGTTTTTTGATTTCAGTGTGAATTTTGTGGACGTCTGGCAGGAGTTTTGGCTGGGTTAGGAGAAACCCATGACACTGGTATTGAATAAAACCCAGAAGTTCGATGTCAGCATACTGGTCATTGAAAAAGAAATTTCATCTTCACTTATCAGTATACCTGGCCTTTTAAAGTTGCTGTTACGTTTCTCTATAATGAGCACAGTTAATGGCATTATTCTCATAATGTTAGTCTTACAACAAAAATGTCTTTTAAGTTTCCTGTTAAAATTATACGTATTTTTTCACCGTGAGGGGAATTTTGTTGTAAAACTCTAGAAAAAATAATTACCACCTCTCTTTGTAATTTACTTGTATGAATTTAAAAATCTCTAGCATGTGTCCTTATTTGGTATTTTGTTCCTGTCAACAGCATTTAGAAAGGAAAAGAGAAGGAATGGGCTTTGATCATTTCTATTATATAGAAGAGGATTCATTAAGTTAGTACACTGTCTAGTCAGAGTGATGAGAACAATGTGGCTTAGTGTCTGTTTTCTCTACCAGACTCTTTGACTCACACAGGGTGACATGTTATGTTATTAGGGTGGAGGGGGGGATTGAGAGTAAAGAGGTTGTGTTTTCCTCATCTTTACTCCTTGAGCCAGGTGGCACAAACTCGACCCTTAGCATTAGGGAGGGCAGAACTGCAGTCCTGTTCAAGGCGTGACCTAACTACAGTAGTCAGCGACTTGGATGTCAAGACAAAGAGCTGACGTGAAGGCCTCTTGTATTTTGTTACGGAACACAGCAAGTAAAAAACATCAAGCAGGGGTCAGTCACCGGGCTGACTGGCCTGCTGAAGTAAAGCAGCTTTCTTCTAGTCTCCACTTGGAATGGTATTATATTTAATAAGGGATCCACCAGAGGCTGCAGTAATTTAAGCCACACGCTAGCTCGTTCCCTCTCAGATCACATTCTCTTAGGCCAATGGTTCTCAAATAGTAGGGTGCATTACAATCATTGAGGAGCTTGTGGAAAACACAGAAACCTGGCCCTCACCTTAGGAGGTTCTGATTCAGCCAGGGAGAGGACAGGAATCTATTTTTAATAGGAACCTCAAGTGATCTTTACTCAGGTGGTCCCTGGATCAGAGTTTGAAAAACACTACCTTAAACATCAGTAAGTACTTCTGTACCTATTAGGTGCTTAACTCCCAGAAGGTGTTTTAATTATTAAAAAAAATCGTAAGTAAATGAAATCCATTTTAGAGGTAGAAAATGTAATCAATCTCATTATCTGATGAATGAGAAAAGTTAAGTGACTTGCCTGAAGTCATCTTACAAAATTAGCGGCAGAGCCAGAACTTGAATTCAAGTCTCCTGATTCCTTGCTCAGGGCAATTTCTAATGCATTATGCTGGCTGTTAAAACAATGATTTATTTATGAACACTTTATCTTGTCTTTAAGTTGTATTATTGTGACTACCCTTAAACTTGCCGATAGATTGAAAAAGGCATGGGAATAGATGCTGAGAATTCCAGCCCTAAGAAGAAGAGGATCTTAAATCTTATAGAAATGTTTAAGCAACCCAAACACATGAATAAAAATGACATTTCTTTGTAGAACCTACCAGCCATTCACACACATGTGCAGAGGTTACATCTCACTTGGAACAATCTTGGCTCTAGGATAAATTTTAAAAATTAGATCATTTTACCACGGATGTTAAAAAGAATTGGAATTTTTTTTTTTTTTTAAGATTTTATTTATTTGACAGAGAGAGACACAGCGAGAGAGGGAACACAAGCAGGGGGAGTGGGAGAGGGAGAAGCAGGCTTCCCACAGAGCAGGGAGCCCGATGCGGGGCTTGATCCCAGGACCCTGGGATCATGACCTGAGCCGAAGGCAGATGCTTAACGACTGAGCGACCCAGGCGCCCCAAGAATTGGAAATTTTTTAGCTATCAAGAAAACTACCACAAAATATAATGAAAACACAGGTTTGCCATAAATTTTTTTTAAAAAACCCACATATTTAAAGGAAAATAAAGTTTTGGAGGCAAAAGCACCCAATCTTAACATTCAAAATAAGCTACTAAGTACAATAATTATATTGATTAAAAAAAGGTTCCATATATTGCATCCCCTTTGGAGAGTTGCATGTCAGATGCTGGGCCCACGTGTCGCCCAACTCTGAATTTCAGTCCATGATTCTTCACCCGTTAGAGAGTTTCTGTGGTGTCAAATAATCTACACACTTTACTACTAACTCTCACTCACAAAATACCTTGCAAGGTAGGTGACATGAGTGCCAGTTTACTTTGGAGGAAATGGAGGGTCTGAGAGGTTAAGTGATTTGCCGTAAGTCACAGAGCTGGCACCGGGCGGAGGGCAACACTGGGATTCAAACCTAGCTGTTTTAGTCCAAAGCCTGTGTGCTTACTACTCTACCACTTTGCCCTTTTGTTTATAAAGGATGGGAAAATGGCCTGTTAATTTGTTTAGCATCCTCTGTAAATTCTTTATTACAGAGCTGGCTTACTTTCTGCACCATGCAAGAGAACATTTATAAGACTGAAAATTTCCATTAGAATTAGTACCATAAACTGCAAGGCATACATACAGTCCATTCCTAACTGAAAGACTTCGAGCAGGATAAGTAGCTGTAAAGTAAAGAAAAATGTGGGATAAATAGCTTTGTATAAAAACAGAGCCACACAGATGAGAATTAAAAATTAGCAAACTCAACAAAACCACCTTTGTCCTCTTTTTGAGGTACGGCTGTGACCAAAACATCATGAGGGGGGATATTAATCCAGGAATTACAGGGCATCAGGAATGTTAGACTCTTGGAGGAAACTGCATCTTACAATTTCAAGGTCTCATTTCACTTAAGAGTGTAAAATCTAATCTGGTGTTTTTTTACTCTAAATTTTATTTAGTCATTTTTATTCATGATAATTGGTGAATGTACTATAAGTGGTAATGTGGTATAGTTGGTAAATGTCGTATAAATTATACTTGTTTTAAAAAGCTTTCTACAGGGGCGCCTAGCTGGTTCAGTCAGTAGAGCATGCAACTCTTGATCTTGAGGTCATGAGTTTGAGCCCCACCTTGAGGGGTAGATTGTACTTAAAAGAAACCTTGAAAAAGCTTTCTACAGAAATGCTATGTTAAATACGTTTAGGAACATCAAATATTTAGTAGTTCCTTATCTTTAATTGTAAAAATGAAGTGGCTAAAGCAGACAAGACCTCTCTTAATCTTTTGAAAATGTATGTGATCTTTGTTCTCAGAAGCCCAAAGAACATGTATAGTTTGTTATTTCTCCTTGTTACATCCAAGATGAGGCTATACCAAAAATTTTAGGAAAACAAGCAAGGATAAGGTTCCCAACTCCTGTCTAGAACCACGATCACATTATATTGTGGTTAAAGTTTAGTTTTCTAGAAAGTGCAATATAGGAAAAACACTCTGAGAATCTTTTAGAAGCCTAGTGTTTCCCATTATTAGTCAGAATATATGGTACTGGCATCCATAAGTATCTGTTAAAGCTTGTGTTTAGCAGGAGAAATAGTCTGATAACACTGATGACAATCAACCCTATTTAAAATGACCAGCAGCCACGGAGAGCTATGAAAATTCACTAATAGCCAGTGTTGGTCATGAAAGAAAGCATATATATAAATTTTTGGATAACTAATGCATATCTCTTAAGTGCCAAAATTTAAAACTTGTAAATTATTTTTGATGCAAGTCTTTCAGATATGTTAGTATACCTCCCTGCCTTCTTAAACAGCATGCTCGGTATAATACACTTTTTCGTGATGAAAGGTAAAAGTTTTATTCATGTGTTATTACAAATACCCAATGAGCTCTGATGTATGTAAAATACTTCATAAACTGTAAAGGGCTATAACAAATATGAGTTAATATCAATTATTATAAAGTGATGCCCTCAGCCCTGAGGTATATATAATCATTTGTCTCAGGTTGCTCGGATGTGGGGATTTTTTTATTTAAAAATTTTTCTATCTGCTAAGTAGTCTGTGCTGTCTCCTACCACAGTATCCACATGCCTGCCTCTAACAGGCTATCATACGTTCTGTGTTCATCTGTTATGAGCTGGGACATGAGATAACCAAGCCTGCTTAGTGTCTAAAGAGCTGCACAAGCCCTGTGTGCACAGTCTCTGAGACCACTAGCTTTCTGACAGGTTCACAGTAACCATCTGGATAAAAGAAGTACCCAGGTAAAGCCTAGGCTAGTGATTTTTTTCAGTTGCCGCTAGGTAAAATACTATAGACGAAGGATGCTGCTAGATTAAGGAATAAACAGCAATGTACCAAAGTACAGCCAAGTAACAACAAAGGCTCTGTATTTGCACAGGGATCCTTCATGCTTTAAAAAAAAAAAAAAAGAATCCAGGGGGGGAAAACAATGAAAATAAAATCCAGATAGACTTGAGTATTTTTGATGCCATTAAACTTGGTTAATAGCCATTAAGATACATGTTTAAATTATCACACATTGTGACAAAGACAGTTTTAGTCTCACTGCAGAAGATCATACCGAAATTTATACCCCAAGAATTTCTCCCGTTCAAATGATAACAGAAATTATCAAAAGGAGTCTCAAATTTACCTGTATGCTGCTTTAGTTGTAAATGAATAAATAATGGAAATATGGGATTTATCAAAACCTCCAAGGAACACATCTCACATATGCACACCTCGTCTATGTATGTGTATAAAATGAAATGTCATCCAGAGACAATAAAATAACTTTAAAATTTAAGTCTTGTTCATAGTATTTAAAATAGAATTTTTTTCAGCTTTCCTATGCTTATTTCATGTTTTCTACATTAAAGTTTGGATATTTGATTTTAAATTTCACTGCATCTTCCATTTCTAAAATGTGCTTTTCTGGTAAATTTTAGAATCGTATTTTTAGGAAAGTTGGGAATGTTCCAGATAATATCCTAGACACCAGAAATTTTTTTCACTAAGTTCTGAGGTACTGTTAATTTCTCATGCTAGACTGTAAGCTCCTTGTGGGCAGGAATGGTCTTACTTTTCTTGTATCCCCAGTGCCCAGTACAGGATCTGACAGAGTAGTTGCTCAATAAATTATTTGTTGTAGGACTCAAATGAACCTTAGCCATATGTGGCCTCGAATTTCCGTGAAGCCAGAATGTGATGTGCAAATAGAGAAATCTTCATCAGAGTAAGATTCAGAAAAACTAAGCATTTCTCATTGATTTGGAAAACTGCAAAACTCAATTTTTCATTCACCAAACACTGACTCCCTACTATATGCCTTGTCCAGTACTAGGGACTCAAGGGACAAAGATAACTAAGGTTGTAGCACTGGCTTCATGAGCGTGTGACCAGTGCAGTTCTACAGGGCCCTGCAGTGAGAAAAGCCCCATGCTTGGTGTAAGGTTCTGCTGAAGCCATCTTAAAATTCTTAATTTTTTGAACAAGGAGCCCATATTTCTATTTTGCACTGGGCTTCCAAATTATATAGCTGGTCCTGCTTCAATATTATCATGTTGACATGGAACATAAGAATTATAGTATCTTCTATCTACTGTCCAGTAAAGATATTCATTCATTGAAAACTAGCCATAAAATGAATGATTTAGTAAAAGAACTTCTAAAATCTAAAAATAAAACTCCCTCCCTCCCACAAATTTTTTCACAGATCATTTCAGAATTAGGAAAGCTCTCTAAAACCGTAATTGGCTCTTACTGTTTCATTTGAATTCTCTTGAGGATTTCATATGGATGAATGTAGAGTTGTAGGTGATTTCATCTACATACATACATACCTACATGCAATTTTAAGGTTTCAGTAAAACTTTTATTAATATATGCACTGAATGTCTCGGTGTAAGTCTACCTCATAATGTGCTTTTAAAAAAATAAATGCTACTTTGAAACATCTGACACACTTTTTCTGTGCTTAGCCTGTTTGAAAGGTTGATGGCAAGCTTGCATTAAGCAGTAGTTTGAAATTTTTATTTAAATTGCTTAGGTGTTTGTTTTTAGACCAGAATCAAGCATAATGCTGTGACAGGGGCAGTGCTTGGTGATTCTTGTAGAGGTATTCTGGACTTTTAAATCCTATGACCCCTACCCAAAAAAAATTAGAGCACACGCTCCAAATTGATGTTGTGTGTGTGTATATATATGTGTATATATACATATATATGTATATATATGTATATATATATACACACACATATATATAAAATATCGTACTGCTCTACTATGTAAATTATAAAACATGTACAGAGAGAAAGGAAATTTTAAAAGAAATTTTAAAAATCAAAGTTCTACATTACCTCCTGCACTTCCAGGGATCACCTTATGCTCCCACAGGTATATGCACATTTCATTTTGTGAAGGCCACCATTCTAAAACATAGAATTGGCATTTTTATACTGAAAA